GGCTGGAATCGAATCTGTTGAATGCGAATGTGCGTTTTTTAAAACTGACAAAGTTGTCGCAAAGTTGGCACTGTGAGCCAAGCGTAAGTACTTCACTGCTGTCGTGAATGGAAACGGACAGTATTATTGCTCGTTCTGCCGGACGGTAGACGCGCGGCAATGGCCGGCCGGTCGTCCAGCCGCCAGGCTGGTTTCGGCGTGGAAGTTCGATGTTCGATGTACGAACGGCCGGACAGATGGACGATTGTCGACTGTCGTCGCCGTACCGGCGTGTTCAGGGTCGCGTTTGTGGTCCAAGTGGGGAGATGGCGCGCCGTGTTCAGCGCTGACCGTCAGCTTATGCCTTTCGCGCACTTCGTGGTCATCATTGTCGGCATTCTTCACCTTATCCAGTGCGATGATGGTCATCGTTCGCGCGACTGCGAACCAGATTACGTGTGACAGCGAAACTGGTTTCTCTGGGCGACATGCTGTCGTCGCGGGCGGATTCATATTGTGAAGCCGATGTATGAAGCTGAATTTTTTATGGACTGAGGTTTGAGGAGCAACTTTGTGCAAGGTTCTGCCGCTGTCGCCTTGCGTCACTGAACTTCCTAGACGTAGTCAGATGGCTGCCGCTGGTGCGGCACTGACCGTAAACAAGATCGTGTCGTCGCCACATCTGTTCATACGTTCGACGGCTCGCATGTTCGCCATGTCAGCGTTCTTCAAGGTCGTCCAGGTAGGTTCCGGGCTCCTGAAATTGCGCCGTGTCGCGATGATCACGTCGCAAGCCTCGGTCAGTGCAACATGAACGACGACAGTTCGTTCTCGTCTTCGCCTCACAGGCCGTTCGTTCATCTGTCGTCTTCGTTCAGCAGCGGTCTTTGTTCTCGTCGTCGTTGTGGCCCGTTCGCAGACCAGTGGGTGGCAGTAGAAAGTGCGGTGCACAGCTCAGCCGGCTGAACGACGCCGACCGCCCGAGCGAGTTCAGCCCTTCGCGGGACGATGGTCCTCTTGTGCGAGGTATGTTTGCGCGCAGCGACGCTTTTATCGCGCAGATTTTCCTTCTTTGCAGGGAGATTACGTGTGGATGCCACTGCCGTTGAGTAACTGCGCGGCCGGCGTCAACACCATCGGCGCGAGGGTCGTCGCCATCAGTAATGGACGCTTGTGCATGAGGGACGACGACGGTCACGAGTCGTGGCTGGACGACGACGTGCACCTGACGCGCATGCACCCGACCTCGGTGCAGGGCGTCGACGACATGATCAACCTCAATGACCTGAGTGACGCGGCGATTCTGCGCAACCTGGCCGTTAGATATCACGATAAGCTGATCTACGTAAGTCACCGGCTGTGGCGGTGTTGCCTCGCCATGCCGCGCCGTGCCTCGCCGCGCAGTGCCCATTCAGAGAGAACGAGATGAGACGGTTGAATTGTATTTGCGGTTGCACGGTGCCCGAGACAGTGCCAGGTCGATTTTTAACTCCCGAAGTGTCCGCTTCGAATCCTCTCAACGGAAACCCGTTGTCGTAACTGCAGTTCCCTTGAGCAAAGACTTAACTCCACGTTGATTCGACGTAACCGACCGAGAAACGAGTAGTAAGTTGGTGATTGGCGAATAATAAATACACCATGGTATCCTGTTCTGGTCATGTCAGAGTGGACGACGTGTTCGGCTCTGCTGTCCGCAGCGAACACCCTTGTAACTGCACTTCGCCTTGTCTCGCCTAACAGCTTGCTGTCCAATGCAATAATCAGCACAAGGTGTAACCTCAATTCTTCCGTTGCCGGTACCAAGCCCGGATGAGAAACGAAGAGGGTTGGGGACCGTAAAACTTAGCCACTTGCCCCTCATAGTATTGCCGTCATCGAACACTATACCGCTTGGTTATCGCCGGGTTACCAATGTCCTCGCAGATTTTTGCGAAACCGAGGCCGAATTAAAGAAAATCGGCGATCAGAACCTGCTTTTCGCAGGTGGAGGCGTAATAACACGGCAACGGCTGCTTAAGATAGACCAGTCAGCAAAGCAGTCGCTACTCGTTCTGAATAGAGGAAGCAGACAGCATCATGCCATTATAGTAGGTCAGATAAGGCTTTAAGGAAACGACACCACTAGTGAGAGCTTACAGTCGCCAATTGGAATATACCCTCACGCAGATAGAAAGAACAGGAGCTAGGTGATGTGGCCGCTAGGACCGAATGGACAAAGGCATCGAAGCGCCAGGGTTCTGTAAATCGGAACCTTTGCGAGTGAAGGCTATTCTACTCAGGTGTCGTCATCACAAGGCGGGCTCAGGCCGGTGTTGGTATTCTAGTGAAATCCTGACTAGTAGAATTATTAAATGGAAGCCTGTCAACGGAAGAGTGGCAAACCTCTGACTGAGGCTACA